ACCTGGCTTCGCCTCTCACCATCCTTGTCCGAGAGGCTGCAGAAAGATCTGCCGGAGGGCTCCATCACCCCAGAAGCGCTGTTAGGGGCCAACTTCAGGACAATCCTTGAGAAATCGCAGAGGTCCGAGGAGGTCTCAGAGACTGTACACCATCTGATGACGTCACAGTCCATCTGCCCCTCCGGCCGCTGGAGGGACCGCCTTGGCCAGCAACAGCACCAGAGGTGCTCCACAGCTGCGGCAGCGACTTCACGCCCCGCTCCTCCGCCGGCTCCCTCCACCAGGTAACAGATCCTTGAGGGGAAGGTATGTGTTTTTTGATGATGTATGTTTTTGATATAAAATAGAAACGCCTCTGAAAGTAAAGTTTTTCATCTGAGACTGTCAGATCAGCTAATCTCTCAGCTGCCTCTCTTTACACATTCCCCACACAGAACGAGCCAGTGACCTCTGAACAGCATTTTAAATGGCACCGCAGTTCAGTAAATATCCCAAACACTCGTCTGCCACGTCAGCTAAAATTATGTTTTTTCAGCAGACCGAGTCCAGTAAAATCCCTCGTTTTTCAGCCAGAGCCCATTTTTAATTTCTGCTGTTTTCTGCCCATTCACAGCGCTGCGGGAGTAAACGTGTTTCTCCACGACAGCTGCAGCCTCCACCGAAACGGCGTCTCACTTAGAAAGCGCTCACGCCTCCTCTCGGTGCACGCTGGCTCACCTCAGCTCTATGTGAGACCGCAGCCTGGGCTCAGCACAGAGGCACACATACAGCCCTTTTTTCTGTCGGAGCCCTCCTTGGGTTCCCCCGGAGAATCTCTGGAGCGAGTGATGGCAGTAAGGTTTTTTAGTCTGGTTGACGTTCGTGAGAAACATGACACAACACAAATGCGTGCCCGCTCTCCGAGCGTTACTCAGAGTGGCAGCGAGTGTGTTCCCTGGACAGATGGATGCACCATCTGATCAGAAGGGGTTACACACTGCAGTTCACAGCTCAACCCCCACCGTTCAGAGGAATTATAGAGACGGTTCTATCTTCTCCAGAACTGAGCTCGTCTCTCCAGTCAGAAGTTCAGGAATGTCTGACGAAAAACGTGATTTCCAGAGTTCCCAACAGAGAGGGAAATACGGGTTTTTTTCCTCCCACTACTTCCTGATTCTGATAAAAAACCGGAGGGATGAGATCCATTCTCGATTTGTTCATGTTCAGCACTTAGATCATGGGGAGACAATTTCACATGCTGACAAACAGCTGCTGGAGAACTTCACCAGAACGACTGGTCGCCAGAACAACCCCTCCCTCTCGGTTTTCAAGTCCCGTTTAAAAACTCACTACTATTCAGTAGCTTTCAACACCAGATGATCTGTGTTTTGATCCTGTATGCTCCACACTGGTTTGTCGTCATTATCTGCATCGTTTTTATGTCTATATTCTGATTTACTTCATTTTGTATTTTGCTTTGTGTGTTACCTGTTGTTTTGTCTGTACA